ATTGCTTAATTCAGGGCTTGACAAATTTACTTTGAATCTAGGAGGCGGCTAAAAAAGTTAGGAGCCGGGTTTTTTTTTTAGCGTAGCATGGGTTTTCAGAGCCCGGGACTTCACGTGATGCGATTTGGCACATGACAATCACGGCAAAACCGCACCAAGTTTTATGGTGCCATTGAAAATAATGACACCGAAAACCTGCGTGTTGCAATCACAGCAATTTGCGTTTTTGGTTCTACAGACGTCAATGGAAAAGCTGCAAAAAAGCATGTAGTGTGTTTTTGATGCGTTTTTGCAGCATTGTTGATGCGTTTTTTTTTTTTGTTTACAAACGATTTTATTGTACATGAGTAGACAGTAAAACAACAGCACATTTTTAAAGTGATATTGTCAACAAAAACAAGGCATTTTTGAAAAGTACATTACATAAAATTGTATTATTACACATAAAAAAGATGAAAGAAAAGAGGAAGTTATGAGTGCATGAAATGCGTAAACGATAAAGTAGGTTGAGTGATACATCTATCAACAGTATATGTCAGCCAGCTTTTACTGGGAATGTTGTTAAGCATGCAATAAATGTCTACAATCTCTCCATGACTCCCATTTTTTATCGTATAAGTGCATCTTATCCAGTAGGGTATAATGAATGCGGTCCATGAGCATTACAGTATCAATTCTGTGTAGAACAGAGTCCAAGGGCACAGCATTGGACCTCCAATGTAAGGCAATAGACCATAAAGTGGCAATACATAATGTATGTATCAATCTCAGATTGGCATCTGAGACCCCTGGGATATGGGCCCCCAATAAACAGGTCTGTATGGACAATCGCATCGGGGTGCCCGACAGTGAGGTAGCCACCTCAGATATCTTACGCCAGATCAAAGATATGTCCGGGCAATCCCAAAATACATGAACCAAAGTACCTGTGCGGCCACAGCCCCGGAAACATAAAGGGGACGTTTGTGGAACAATACATGTAGTCTTGACGGGGTATAATACCATCTGGTTAAAACTTTAAGGGCCGTCTCACGAACCGAAAGAGATCTAGAGCTCTTGCATATATTATCCACCATGGAATCCCAATCCTCATCTGAAAAAGTGATACCACAATCCTCCTCCCATTTTCGTCTGTACAAAGGGGGAGCATGAAAAAGACAGATCAAAAATTGGTGATAAAGATCTGAAATAAGACCCCTACCTCTGGGAGAGTCACGGCTGATACGTTCAAAAAAGGAAATTGGAGAAGATGGGGTAAGGCCAAAGTGCGCATTAAAAAAGTGCCTAATCTGTCTATAACGAAGGTACTCACGAGAGGTAATATAGCCAAAAGTTGGGGAGACCGAGACCTCCCGTTCGTTGTGAGCGATACAAAATGGATGAGGCAAAACGTGAATGCTTATTTCCCCAAATAAAATTGTTAATAGTCCGCTGAAAGTGATCCAAAAACATTTTTGAGACCGGAATTGGAAGTGCTCTAAAAAGATAAAGCAGTTTGGGCAAAATATTCATTTTAACCGCCGTGACTCTACCCAGAAAGGAGATATGATAACCATGCCAAATCTTCAGTAGAGTAGAGAGACGTGACACACATGGTGGATAATTAGCTGTAAACATATCCGAGTATCTGGGAGTGAGATTAATCCCCAGATAGGATATCCTGTCCTTGGCCCAGCGAAATGGGAAAGAACTACGGAGAGATGCACTGAGGGAGTCAGGAACATTAATAGGCATAATCTCTGATTTGGTAAAATTAACAGTGAGACCTGACACTTTAGCAAAATCGTTCAATACGGCACACAAATTAGGCAAAGAAGTCAACGGGTTAGTAATAAAAAGCATAACATCATCAGCATACATGTTCAGCTTAAAATGTGAAACTAATAATGAATAGCCAGAAATATCCGAATGTGATTTGATCGCCAATGCCAAAGGTTCCAACACCAGCGCAAACAAAAGGGGTGAAAGAGGGCAACCCTGACGGGTACCTCTACCCAATGTAAAAAAGTCAGAGTTACAGCCAGGAAGCCTTATTCTTGTTTTAGGAGAGTCGTATAGGGCGTGTATACCAGCCAAAAACCCATCACTGAAGCCCATTTTCTGTAGCAAGGAGAACAAGTAGGGCCAAAGAACACTGTCAAAGGCCTTGTTTATGTCCAAACTCATCAACAGAACCTCTTTGGAATGTAAATTGGCGTCTTGAATAACATTTAGAGTGAGACGAATGTTATCAGTAATAAATCTGTCGGGGATAAAACCCGACTGGTCTGGAGAAACCAAAGAGGAGATGATAGGGGCCAACCTGTTTGCCAAAATACGGCTAAATATCTTCAGATCGTTATTCATTACTGAGATTGGTCTATAGTTTTGTGGCAAACAGTGGTCTTTCTGTGGTTTGGGTATTAGAAACAAGTTAGCCAACAACATCTCCTCGGGGAACTTACCCCCCTGTAAAACATCATTAAATAAAGTTATCAAATATGGAGCCAACGTAGAGGCAAAATGTTTATAATAGCTAGCGGTAAATCCATCAGGACCCGGTGCAGTAGAGCGTTTTAGCGCGCTTATCGCACATGTTATTTTCTCTAAAGTACAGGGGGCATTAAGAGAGGCAATCTGAGAAGGTGTTAGAGCAGGAAGGGGTATAGAATCCAGCCATGAGTCTGATGGAGGAACAGAATCTGTTGATGCGTTTTTAAATCTGCCCAGCAACAAAAAAAAAAAAAAACCCTGCAAACTGCATCAAAAACGTGGCAAAAACGCACATGCAAAAACGCAAAACGCAATGCAGAAATGGCTCAAACGTAAACTACATAGGTGTGAACCTATCCTTAGACTATATGTCCACTTTAACTATGGCCACATAAGACAAATTTGAAGAAATTTCCACCACATTCACACAAAAACCAAACAGATCAAGGCAACCTACTACTAACACTTTGGGTTCTATTTATACACAATTTGTAGTAGCAGTATTTGTGAAAAAGTCACAAATGCACTTTGCAAATGTTTTTAATGTATATGAAATGTTATTTTTATGATATTTAGGTTCTCTTTTGCACGGTGAATGTAACATTCCCTAATAACACCAGAACATTTAATGCTAAGAGAAACAGCCCAGGAAAAACAAAAACAAAAGGAAGTGCAAAAATAGATTATTGCTGACTGCACAAAGATATTCTAAATGGCCTGGACTGATTTTTTTAAAACACCTAAAAAAGATTATATAAAAAATTGGATCACAATGAAGTTATTTCAAAATATCAGTTTTCATGAGAATCACACGTCTTCAAACTGGCAATTGGTCATGCAGAAAATTTAAATGGCGAAAAGTAGTCACTTCCCTGTTTGCTTTCTCTGGTCCTTGTTCAGTGTGGTGCACACAATGATATCAAACAGTATAGAGCTGTCTGAGGGGACCAAAAAGAAAATTATAGACCTGCATGTCATAGATAGAGGATACAGCTGCAAATATTGTCAAAAAGTTTAGGTTCCATGGGAGTGTAGCCAATCTCCCTGGACTTGGCCATAAGAGGAAAATCAAACTCTAATTGAACAAGATAGTTTGAATGGTAGACAAAGTGCCAAGGTAAAACACTAAAGAGATTCACACCATTCATCTCTTTTATTGACAGACAGTGGACAAAAGAAAACCCAGGAGGACTCCACTACCAAAAGAAAAACATAAAAAAGCCAGACTGAATTTACTAATTTGCATACAGACAATCCACAATGCTTCTGGGAAAATAGACACAAGAGACAAAACTGGCAAGTCACATCAGCTCTATATTCACAGATGAAAAATTTAAGCTTTAGAAGAAGAAAAATGTGAAAAATGGAGGAGGCTTGGTTATGTATTTGGGCTGTCTTGTTGCATCTAGCACAGTGTACCTTGAATCTGTGCCAGGCACAATAGAATCTCACAACTATCAAGGAATTCTGGAGCAAAACATACTACCTACTATCAGAAAGATCTGTCTAAATCACAGGTCATGGGTCATCCAACTGCATAATGACCTAAAACAAACAGCTAAAAGCACCCAAGAATGGCTAAGAACAAATCATTGGACTATGGCAAGAGCTAAAACATGTGGTAGTAAGAGGGCATCCCTCAAACCTAATTAGAGAATATTGCTCAAGAGTGGGACAAAATACATGTTGTAAGGTCAGAAATCATATTGAGAGCTACAACAGTTGTTGTGATTACCTCTAAGGCTGGCCATACATTATACAATTTTCTTGAGAACTTGGCTTTATATTTACCAAAAACCATATAATATATGAGGCCAAACCTAAACAACATTCTCAATTGTATCCAATAAGGCAGGTCCTTGCACTACATAGTTGAAGGTAAATCTAAAGGAAATTTGGCAGAAAATTGTATAATGTATGGCCAGCCTAAGTATTGTGCAACTATACAGGTATTGTACATTCACATCAGTCCCTAACCCTCAAGGGGCATACACTCTAAGGTCCCTAACTCATATTCATACATACATATACTAGGGCCAATTTAGAAAGGATCCAGTTCACCTTCAAGCATGTCTTTGGAGAGTAGGAGGAAACTGGAGTGCCCGAAGAAAACCCACGCAGACAGAGGGAGAACATACAAACTCCAGGCAGGTGGTGCCGTGGTTGGGATTTGAACCAACATACCTAGTACTGCCAGGCGGAAGTGCTAACCATTTAGCCACTGTGCTGCCTAACTAAATATTAGATTAAGGTTTTCATTATTTTGGCTATCCTGTGTTCTATTTTCTTTTTTTCTGAGAAATATTCTGTTTAACCACTAGGGGATAGCCCGCAGTACATATACTGCTACAAGGCGGCCCCTGTGCGCAGGATCATGTATATAAACGTGATTCTGCATTCCGGGGTTAGGGGGCACACGCGATCGCCCTACCTGCAGCACCGATCACGGTCACGAGTGTCAACCACCGGGTCCCGGCTGGTGATTACCCGCCGGAGCCCAGCGATTGCCGGCAATCACTGGCAGAGAGGAAGGCTGCATTGTTTTCAATGGAGCATTCCTCCCTATCAGCTTTCAGCACACTGTTCTGGGATCGCTAATTACAGCCTTCCGGAACAGTGTGTAACAGAGAGGTACACACCCCCGCCCCATAGTAAAACACTCCCCTCACACAATTAACCCTTTGATTATCTCCAAAAGTTAACCCCTTCCTCCCCAGTGCCATTAGTACAGTGTGAAGTGTTTTTTTTTTTTTTGCATTGATCACTGTATTGGTGTCACTGGGGATGTCCCCAGTGACCCCAAGTCAGTTCCCCCCCCATGTCAGAATGTCCGTGGCAGTCCCGCAGTCCCGCCATGAGTCGCTAATCGCCACTATTATTAGTATAAAAAAAAATCCAGTATCTATACCGCCATTTGTAAATGTTATAACTTTCACATAAATCAAATAATTTACACGTATTGGCATTTTTTTTTAGCGAGGACATGGAGCAGAATACATTTTGGCCTAAATTTATGACGAAATTTTAGTTTTTTTGGATATTTTTTATGACACAAATGAGAAAATGTTGTTTTTTTTTTCAAGTTTACTATAAATTTTTTATAGCCGAAAGTAAAAAATATTGATTTTCTTCAAAATTTTTGGTCTTTTTTTGTTTATAGCGCGAAAAATTAAAAGCGCACAGGAAAGCTCTATTTGTGTGAAAAAAGGATGTAAATTTCATTTAGGTACAGCATTGCATGACCGCGCGATTATCAGTTAAATTAGTGCAGCGCCGAGTAGCAAAAAAGAGGCCTGGTCATTAAGGGGGGTAAATCCTCTAGAGTGCAAGTGGTTAATCTAAAATCAAAAGCAAAGTCTCATTGTTATTTTAAGCATAGAATAAGCAAAGATTGAAGCCAGTTACTCTTGTCAAGTTAAAGTTATTTCTGAGAAAATTGTGCACTTTTTTCTTATTTCGTGGAATGGTTCCAACAACTTTGTCCATGGCTGTATATGCTTTAACACATTAATGCTGAATTCCAGGCATAACACCCACCCATAACTAATCTCCAAGCTAGGTAAAAAGAAAACCTAAGTTCACAAGTCTTTTATCTCCTTTCCTGCAGAGACATACAGTCCTGTGTACACTGCCTACTGACTGTGCAGAGCTGGCATCCTCTGAAGCGCTAGAAGAATGCAGCAGCGCAGTGACACCATGAAGAGGTGACTAGTTAGCATTTGCATGGACAGCAATGCTGGACCACAGGTCATCAACACCAGGCAGCAACACAGGCAAAGGATTCGGACGATATATTTAGCAAACTTCAGAAAACCCACCTTAAAGAGATAATAGTTGTTCAAAAAAAATGGAAGGTTGATTTGGAACAATTCATCTTTTTTGGGCTCTGTAAAGCTTTACGCCAGTCCCTACTTCTAAAGGGAAGGCTCCTGGCCTATTCTTTACCAGTGTGCCTTTCTCTTCCAGAAGGGATATACTGTATGGATGTGTTCACCCTCCTGGAGAGCCAGGCCATGGAGTAAACCCACAGCAATAGGAAATGTGCCAAAGAACTGAGTGCTGTGCATTTATTAAAAATTCAGCATTGTTAGAACCATAATGGCAGCTGCTATTAAGATGAAATGCCAACTGCTTTCCCAAGATGAATATCTGTAGCACAGTTATTAAAGTATATTTTATTAAATAATTTCTATACAATCCATGTTTGGGGGGTTGATGTATATTTGAAACATCATGAAAGGGTCAATGAGCTGAAGAGTTCGGGGACCCCCAATTTAGCGTTACATCTACTTTAAAATCATCTCATTGTCCTTGTTGAAGAATGTAAGAAATTAAAAGTGATGGCTGCATTCAATCAGTTTGTTTTTTTTTAATAAAAAGCTGGTTGGAAGGCACTAATTGTGAATAGCACAGATCAGCACAAATATCTGCTTAAAGCCACCCTGTCAAGGGGTTTAACATTTTCAGTAGCGCTATCCTTTAATGAAAACACCTTTAAACTTTCCTGTTTAGTGGCCTGTTTGCAGAAACTTTCCTCTGTAGCCAGTTTTCCAGCATCTGTCCTATTCCAGGTTTGTGGAGAAGCATGTCCCCCCCCCCCCCCCCCCCCCCCCCCCGCTGGGCACTGTGGGTCCTCCAGGCAGACCCTACATCACTAATGTGTCTTGCAGTGACTAGGGATTACGAGGAACCACAATGGCCAGACCTCTGATGACTCAAAAGAGTACCTGTCACCCACATTTGTCAGCACCTTGAAATATATATTAAGCGAAAAAAGTAATAAAACAAAAAAAAATTAAATGTTTAAGAAACCCCCCCCGTCTACACACACACATAAAATTTGCACACACCTTGGGCATAATTTTGCATATAGAAACACCGATTGCACAATACACATTAGGTAAAGCCACACACAGCAAACAGGGAAGGATAGTTTTAGGGCAAACATTTATAGGTAGAGATACTTAAGGTTTTTTTTGTTGTTTTACATTATGGTCACCTCAAACCCGACTTTGAAATCGTGCGACTTACAGTGAAGTCACACGATTTCAAAGTCGGGTGGCATGTCGATTTCAGGTACGATTTGCAAGCCTTCTGACACAGATGTCTATGCAAATCGCACCAAAAGTAGTGCTTGCACTACCTTAGAAATCGGTGCGGCTCCAACAAAGTCGAAACGAAACCGATATGACTGCTCTAATTGCAGACAATAGGGTGCGACTTGGCATGTGATTTTCAAATCGCATAGCATGCAAATTACATGCCAATTCGCATCCAGTGTGACCCAGGACTTAAATAACAAACATGTTACACTTACCTGCTCTGTGCAATTCTGATTCTCTTCTTCTCTGGTCCCCTGCCAGTACTCCTGCCCCCCCCCCCCCCTTTTGACCAGTTCCCCAAATAGCAAGCCACTTGCTGTTTGGGGAACTGGTGTGTGATCACTCCCAAGCCCGTCCTATGCGTCTATAACACATATTAACACATATTGAGCTCCCTCTCTCCTCATTGGCTTACTGGCTGTGATTGACACATTGAGAAGAGAAAGACTCGGGACAGCCAAGGCTCCTGTGTACATCACTGAATCGAGAGGGGGCTCAGGTGAGTATTAGGAGGAGCAGCACACAGCCTTCATACATAGAATGCATAAAAGGTAAAAACTTTCTACCTTAACATCCACTTTATTCTAAACTGATGAGCTGTAAAGTTTTTTTTAAAGCGTCACCTACATACTGTACAAGTTTTGGGTATAATACTGTAGCTTTTTGTAGTTGTGGGTGCATGCAATTTTAAAACATAACATATTAAGTATTTACACATTTGATACTGTCTCATTATCCAGAAAAAAAGTTGGAAATTATATTGTGTTTGATTGTACTGAAATCATTTTTTTGTGTATTTGTACAGAAGCTATAAATTTAATGAATTCATATTTAAATATCTTTACATTTTGCAGAACCTCTGCTTTCAAAAAATTTACAATAGAAAAAATATGTATTTGAGCCCACTTACAAAGAAATGAACGGTCTACAATTTTTATCATAGGTGTATTTGGAATGATCGAGACAGAATATCAACCAAAAATCCAGAAAAAAAAACACACACATGATACAAATGTTATAAAATGAGCTGCAGTTCAGTGAGTAAAATAAGTATTTGATTCCCTACCAAGCATCAATAATTCTGGCTCCCACAGACTGGCTATGCGCTCATGTGGCCCACAGATTAGTCCTGTCAATTTAGGAAGGTGCTCCTAACAACAAATTGTTATGTGTATAAAAGACACCTGTCCACAAAATCTCTTTCTTGGGTACCACCATGGGCAAGACCAAAGAGCTGTCAAAGGACGTCAGGGACAATATTGTAGATCTAAAATATGAAAATAGTGAAGGTATAAGACCAAACTGTGCTAAATGTGTATATAATTAATAGTTTATCACTACTATATCTGTGTAGACAAAGGAGCATGGGGGAGCTCTTGTCCATAATGGGCATTGTATTGACACAGCTCCAGATGATCCACATTGGCTCACAATTGATATGATCAATTGGGCATACACCCACGGGTCCTTAAAGAATTGAGCTCTGTCATTTCAAAGCCATTGTTTCTAATTTTTAGGGACTCTTTAATGACTGGCATAGTACCACTGGATTGGTGTAAGGCCAATGCGGTGCCAATATTTAAAAAGGGGTCAAAATCTTTACTAAGTAATTATAGACCTGTTAGTTTAAATTCTATAGTTGGGAAGATACTGGAGAGTTTAATAAAAGACCACATAGATGAGTTCTTGCTGGAAAAAAATATTTTAAGCAACAGAAAGCATGGATTCATGAAAGACAGAAGTTGTCAAACAAATCTAATTTCTTTTTATGAGGGGGTGAGCAAAACCTTGGACAGAGGGGTGGAGGTGGACGTGGTATACTTGGATTTTGCAAAAGCGTTTTGACACAGTTCCCCACACACGACTTATGTGTACGGTAAAGTCTACGGGCTTGGAAAAATCTGTATGTAAATAAATAGAAAACTGGCTAAAAGATCATATTCAAAGAGTAGTGGTTAATGATTCATACTCTGAATGGTCTAGGGTTATCTGTGGTGTACCCCAAGGTTCAGTGTTCGGACCCTTACTTTTTAATATATTTATAAACAATATAGGGTCTGAGATTAAAAATCCCATTTCAGTCTTTGCAGATGACACCAAGCTTTGCAGTGGAATAACGTCCTTACAGGATGTCTTCAACTTACAAGCCGACCTCAATGCACTGTTTAATTGGGCAACTATGTGGCAAATGAGGTTTAATGTTGATAAATGTAAGGTTATGCACTTGGGGGCTAAGAATATGCATGCATCATACATACTAGGGGGAGTACAACTGGGGGAATCAATGGTGGAGAAGGATCTGGGAGTTCTGGTAGATCACAAGCTTAATAATGGCATGCAATGCCAAGCTGCGGTTTCTAAAGCGAGCAAAATCCTCTCTTGTATTAAAAGAGGTATAAACTCCAGAGAGAGAGAGATATCATATTACCCCTGTACAAATCATTAGTAATGCCTCATCTGGAATATGCAGTTCAGTTTTGGGCACCAATTCACAAAAAGAGCATTGGGGAACTGGAGAAAGTACAAGGAAGGGCAACTAAACTGATACGAGGCATGGAGGAGATCAACTATGAGGAAAGATTAGAGGAACTGAATTTATTCTCTCTTGAGAAGAGGAAAATAAGGGGGAATATCAACATGTATAAATACATCAGTGGTTCATATAGTGAATTCGGTGTAGAGCTATTCACCCTGAGGTCATCACAGAAGACAAGGGGGCACTCTTTACATCTGGAGGAAAAGA